TTCTGTATGGAGCACAAAGGAAGAGATCGTATGTATGTTACCTTGAGCTCTTGGAGGAAAGATAGGATATAAATCTAATAAACAAATAATCCTACATTTGAACTCATTGCAATATTTTTTTTGCCTATATCTGGGAAATGAGACACATCTCAATTATTTCTAGATAAGCAAGACACAGACCTGATTTCCTGAGGGAGGTTTCACTCTCCCTTTGTGTCCAAAGTTTGATTATAGATGCTGCGTAGAGCATCCTCATTAGCCCCATCCATTTCACATATGTTTTTGGAATCAACAATACCATCTAGAAAAGAAAAGAGCTGCAACATATCTATCTAATAAGAAGAAGTCACATATTAATGTTTTCTATATACTTTAGGAATGAGATGCTTTCGGTTCTCAAATCTAGTGAATGCTTTGTAATCCCTTACATTGTAATCCCTTACTTAAATCTCTCATTTAAAATGTTTAACATTTTCCTGCCCACTGATATTTCTGAAGTTTGTAGCAGTGATTAACATTCAATACAGAACTCTATTATGCTTCATAATAAGGAACTAATGTGGTATTCCCACCCATTTACTAAGATTTGTTTTAGTTCTGGGATTTAAGCTTTACTGTTTTTAGACACAGGGCCACCTTTATCAAATGAACTAAAAATTATGGGTGAAAATCAAGTGAGGGTGCAGAGAACTTCCAGGCAGCCACTTAAATGGGCCCACTCATCAATTTCATAATATTCCTATTTAAACGAAGTATCTGCAGTCATATTATTAATATTTAGCATTTACTCTGGTTTACATCAAGCCTGTTAGAACATGGGTCCCCAACCTCCGGACTGTGTCCCACTACCCACTATGGCCTATTCAGAACTGGACTGTGCGAGAGGTGGGCCAGTGCACATGTACAAATCCATTCATATGAGCGGCGCCCCAAAGGCTTCTCTTCTCTCTTGCATGAGTGGAACTGCGTGTGCATACTGGCCCACTGCTCACATAGCCCAGTTCTCCTCTCTCCCCCAGCTGGGCTGTTGCCTGCTTCCAATGCTCCAAAAGCAGAGCCGCCACGCCACCCACCATTTCCATGGCCCGCCACAGATCGCCCAGGAAGCCCAGCAGTGCCATGGCAGCCACACCCTCTGCCCGCGCCCTGCAGCATCATCTGCGTGCAATGGGGCGTGAGGGCGGAGTCTTGTCCCCGCTGCCCAGCTGCCATGTCCTTGGCTGCGCTGCTCCACATAGGCCGTGCCCGGGGTGACTCTCTTCCGGGAGGGCTGCTGGTGAGGAGGGGGCCACGGGGGAAGGCAGGGCTGGGGCGACGGTGCATGTGCCCACAGAGAGGGCTCTGAGTGCCACCTCTGGCACATGCACCATAGGTTTGCCCCGATATACTGTATTAGTCCCTGTTCATTATGAAATCATGGAAATAAGAAAATATATTCATCCACAACAACAGAGAAGGACTAAGCCTTCAAATTATAGTAAGTGCCTATTTTCATTTCACCTCTAAACTATTTTTAAATGACTCGTCTCTTAATTTTAACTGGGAATGGTTACATGTACTGCATTTCTCAACTTACACGAAGGAGAGGAAGGAGTGGACTGAGAAGGCTCACATTCAAGCAAGATATCCTGTGAATCTGTCAAACCCTTAAATCTTGCCACTGAATTGATGGAAAGAAACACAACAGTTGAATAAAGATGAAGCTAGAGAGTACAAGGAGAAGTGTCAGGAGACATTGATATAGGAGTAGCTAGCAAGACAATAAAAACATGATCAGTAAAATGAAACAGTAAGGGGAGAGGTCAGACGCAAATAACCAGAACAACTCTGAATAGGATAAAGCTATCCTTTACTGTTGAACACCTATTTACAAGAATCTCACCAAACTGACTGCCCTCCCTTGGGAAACAGCAGATATACTTTCAAGGGTTAGATCTCAGAGATTTTCTCCCCCAAATCGACTCCATGCTGGAATGTCTCTTTACTCCCCCCTGGAAGGGCTCCTTCTACTTCAGATCTATGACAATTTGCCGTCAACTCACCACAGCCAACTGGCCACGGGACAACACGCCATAGCCAACTTGCCACGGCCAACTCACCATGGGACAACTGGCCATGGGACAAAAGTTATATAATATCAAAGAAATGGTGGAATAGAATCATTAAAGAAAGGTTGCTAAAGGAGAGACAAAATGAAATGTGAATGACAAAAATTAAAATATTTTTTAATTTATTTTAAATAATTAAATTGAATTGTTAAATTGTCCCACAGCGAGTTGGCCAGAGTGAGTTGTTCTGCCATGAGTTGGCCATGGTGAATCGGCTGTGGTGAGTTGGCAGTGGCAAGTTGACCACAATGAGTTGGCTGAGCTGAGTTGTCTCATTCTACTCTATTTCAGCCAGTGATTCCACCACAGGAGAAGAGGAATGATGAATAGAACTTAATACCTACATGTGACTCTATTTTTGAGAACTGTACTGGAGGTGGAGGGACATAGATATAGATAAAAGGAAAAGAAAAGAGGACCAGAATAAAACCCCAAAGTAATAATTTAAGTACACAAACAAATGAAAAAAGAACACTGCAACATCAATAAGATGTGTAAGAAAAAAAGAGACTGACAAATCACATTTGGTTTCAATTTATATACCAGTAGCATAAAAGATATTCTTAAATTCCCACAATAATATATCATCTTACAAAGATAAATGATTATCATAATAAACAAGGTCAATATACTTGTCTGTTTATAACATTGTGGTCCAACTACAAATAATGTAAATCAGTAAATGAATCGCTAATTAATATATGAATTTCATTCATTATGCATATTCTAATGAGGATATCTCAGATTATTAGTCCTAAGAACTACAAGGTTTAATAATAATTCCCAGTTTAATTTGAAAAATGATTCCATAAAATGCACGGAAGTATCTTGCGTAAGAATAAGAGAACCACAATCTGCTGCAACTAATTTGGTTGTGAACCATTAAATCTTGTCCCAAACTATTATCTTATATTGTCCTTTCTAACAAACTTGTGACTATAATGATGAAGTCCACTGCATAATATTGAAAGAATAAATTAATCTTATCAAACAAATTTAAAAAGCATTGCTAAAACCAGGACTTGCAAAACAAATAATTGATACAATAGTTTATATTGTGTTACACAGTTGTTTCATACTTAGGAAGATACTGAAAGGCTCTCATTATTTTTTACATGTTTATTCTAATTTCTAACATACATTTAACTAAGAATAGTTAAATAGCATTAATATTTATAACTTTTATCTCTGAGAAAATCCTGTACTGAAACTACCAATAATACAAAGTGGTGAGGTACAATATCTCAGAATTTAGGAATTTATTTAAAAAATGAAAACCCGCCTAGGATGTTATCAGTATGAGAAGCCCTTCTTAATTCTTCTTTTTCTACAATTTCTCTCCGTACTAGCCACCTGTAATGTATATCTATATATTACTAAAACGCTGATTCCTGTAACCTTTTCCTGGGTGAAACAGTGCACCCTAGGTCAAAATATTTTGAACCAACATTTAAGTCAAATGAGCTAATTTACAGAATGTGTCCAAAATCTGGAATCAATGACTCCCATGGAAATGAAACTTGGCAAATTTTATAAACAAATTTATGACATAAAGATGATCATAAAGCAATTTATGACATAATACAAAATGATTTTTATTTTCACAGCAGATACATCTCTGAATGTATCCCAATATTTCCAGTGAAGGCAGTAGATTAAGAATTCTGTCATTGTTGAAGGCTTTCAAGGAAATATCTCTGAAACAATGACCCAATGGCCCAGGGATTGTCTAGTCCTATTTACAAAAGGGAGTGCTCTATCTAGAAAAATATGCTTTTGAACTTACATGGCAAAGTCTTCTTCGGCCATTTAATTTTGGAGGGATCATAGCTCTAGAATAAATGTAAGAAACTGATGGCTGTTTAAATTGTTAAGTTATGATTTCCATCCTTCCCTGATCATGGATGTGTGCTAATATCCAAATGGCCAGAGTCTTCCATTCATATCTGAATTATTTTGAAAACATGCTATCATAATAGAAAAAATCAGTCAAAAATTTTAACAATTACCCAGAAAGCTACAAAAACTAGCATCTAAACAGGTTTTATTTTTAAAAATACTCCATGTAGCTATAGCTACATCTATGTTTATATCTATGTCTACATCTGTATCTATACAAGTCCTTGATTTGATGGAATGCGCACTTGCAAGACTAGAGGGGAAATGTCTGGCCACATAGAGCTTTCCCAGTAGGAGGTCCAGATTAAGAGATGGGAGGAGACTGGATAATTCCCGAGATTCAAGGTAGTCATATGTTAGAATATTTCAGGATGTATCTAGTAGATAAGAATTATAGCTTTAGTTTGGCAAAATTCTGCCTATTAGGTATAAGGAAATAAAGAATGAAATTCGATTGGGTCTTGCTGTCTCATCTCTCGGCTTGTACCTGGCACTGTTTACTGACTGCCTTGTCAGTTCACTATGGGTATTCACTATGAATACTTCCACGAATACTATACATTTAAATAACCATTAAGTAAGAAACAATCTTATTTCTTTTGACAGTATAGCTTATGAAACCAACAAACTGAGACAAAATATATTCCTAGAAATCTGAGGAAGCAGCAAAACTATGGCACAGAGTCCTGTCCATAATACACACGCCAATTAACATAGGGTGTTCAAGTTCAAGGCTGGTGGATAATAGTTAAAACAGCACAAACAACCTATAGCTGCTGGGAAAATAAATTACTAAAGTTCTAAAGTCAATAAACTTCTGAATGTGATGTAAATGCCCTTATATAGACAGATAAATTGATGCAACCCACCTCCTATTCTATTAATTATTTTCTAATATAATGATTTTTTTTTACTTAATGAGTTAAACAAATAATACCAAACATGAGCAGTTGTTACATTTGTATTAAAAATATGACTCTCTTCACATCATACCTTTTACATCTTCATCTTCAATGGTTGTGTTGGAACTCTCTGTTGATTCCTGTTGAAGTACAAGAGTAATTCATTAAATGATCCCACACTATTAACGTCTGCTTTGGATGTACAGTATTAAACAAATCATGCAAAGCTCTGAAGCAGACCGTATGAATTTAAGACTAGGACAAATAAACACAGAGAATGACCGCTTCTGGTTTAAGTCAAATATCAGGCAGTTTGAAAGAAACATTAAAAGAGATGCATTTCCTATTGACCTATGCGGACGTCATAGGAACAAAAAGGAAATACAACTGTGAAGAATGGAGAGATTCGGTTTTCTTAAACCCTTTTGACACTTTTTAGACAAATGGTAGCAAACCTATGGACACTAACTGTCAGAACTAGCCATTTAAGACTGGCAAGCACAAGATGTAGAGCTAAATAGTCCATGTAAAAAAATAGGCCAATATTGCAGCTTGATCTACAACCTTTTAATAATGTTGTAGACATAGAAAACCTCCCATTTTACCTTGACACAATTCAGTCTGTGGCATTTATTGACATTTAGTGTTCTCCTTTTTATTAATTTTACCTAACTCAAGGCAGCAAAAACACCTTCCTTCTCCAATTTTCCCCACAACAACAATTCTATGAGCTGGGTTAGGCTGAGAGAGAATAACTGGCCAAAAGTCACTCGCTGGCTTTCATGGCTAAGATGGGACTTGAACTAAGGATCTCCTGCTTTCTAGCCTTAACCACGAGACCAAACTGGCTTTCTATTGCTAGGATTCAGAGTAGTTTACAACCAAGAGGTCCCACTTGCTCAAGGTGTTGATGATTTACAAGGATTCCTATGAATATTATATATTTCAGTATTGAGAAATATTGCAGTACAAATATAGCTGAAATATAAAAAAGACTTTTTATCTTGTTGCATTTTTTAAAAAATATATTCAATAGAGAAGTAGTTATTGGCAAATTATATAATATAGATGTGCTCAAAAAATGTCCGTGTTTATGTTTGTTTTTTGTGAAATTTTCACTCTATCCCTTTCAGACATGTTGTTCTCTGCCAGTTTAAAATTACTAGTTTCTCAGATAGCAGATTTTAAAAGCCTACTTTTGTATCAAAAAGGTAGGTACCTCTGATGTTTGGTGGATTATAAATAACAAAAATAGTTAGTTGAAACAGTTAAAAGGACACTATCAAAGATAGTAAAAAGTTTAGTCTCATATTTTTTTAAAAAATGACTTTGCAAAGGTTTTTATGGAAACTTGGGAAAAGAGAAAAAACAAAAGCAGAAAAATAAATAAGATTAAAAATAAAATAAGAAGTAAAATAAGAAATAAATAAAATAAGAAAAGACATATAAAATTTCATTTAAGAATTAAGGGTAAGTGACTAAGAATTATGGAGCACTAAGAGCCTTTTAAGCACAGTTCTTATGACTGAAGGATAAGGTCAACAGCTCATTAAATAAAGGTTTGCACAAAGTATAAACTTGTATATGACTATTAGTTTAACCATTGAGGCAACTAAGATTCATCACCAGGTTAAAAAAGAGACAATTCTTTTTTTTCATATCCCAAATGTACATGTGGGAAAACTACAACACTATATTATGTGATTGAGATTTATAAGTCTTAACTTATTGTTTGGGATAAACATAATTCACAAACAATATCAACAGATCTTGGTAGTGTCCTTTCTTTCTGTAATGCTAATTCAAATGAAACATGTATTGTCAGCAAGATATATGCACATCAACAAATGTGTCAGTGAATGCCACACCATCCCAAATATTTGTCCATCCATTCCAAATGAACCATCATGCTCTGACTGGTTTAAAAATGATACATACAGAGAGCTGTATCATGCTTGGTTATAAAAGTCACTCTTAGAAATGCTTATGAAACCTAGACACACATATGCAGAAGAAATTTCATGCATCACCTTTGAAGCCAACTCCATGGAAACATAGAATTCGCCCATCATGTGATGCATATTTAACAAATATTTCCTCTACAAATGTTTTTTTTCTTCCATATTGAAACTCATTTTGTTTGCTGTTTAACATGAAGTAGGAGGGGCAGAATTATAACCATTTATATAATTATACAGAGAAAAGAGAGTTATGATGGTTTGCATAATATGGACTTGGAGGTCAAGTAAAATTTTGATATTAGTGAAAATATACAGTGTAAATTTCATATTGTTTACATATAATATCAAAGCCAAAATATGATATAATGAGGAAGTGATAGCAAAGCAAACATAAAAATCTAACATATATAAAAATGAAAATAAGTCACAGATCTATATAAAACGAGCTAGTATATGTGCTTGAGGAAAGATTATAGTATTAATACTAATGTGCAACTACTATCCAGAAACACAACAGAATGATTACAAGTAAATTAAATCAGACAAGAACACTGATGACAAAGTATATAGCAATTACTGGACTATGAAGCAATAATCACATTGTATAATTAAACACTGTAGAATTAAACACTGTAGCACAGGGTTTCTTCTTTTAAGTGATAGTTGTTTACCTCAGGATTTAACAGTCACTTAGCCCCTTTTCAAGTTTATACAGAAAGAAAATGAAGATTTAACACAATTCAATCCTACACATACAGCTGAACACTAGAATAAAAATGTAACAGGTAGAACCCACAACAACAATTTTGTCCCTGACTGTGTGAGCAGCTGATTGATTTCTGGAAAGAAGTCTGAAATTCAATGGAGAAGTTATTCCTCTATTTAGGAATGGAAAGCTTCTTGTATGGACCATATTGTTTTTGGTTGGTCCTACATCTTTTTCAAGGGTTGTATCAACCTGTTATATGTAGTGGGCTATTGGAATCCCCAGGAAAGCAAAGAGGAACATAATGGACATAAATTTATTTTGACTGCCAATAACAGAATTGCTGTTCATAACTGGAAAAGTTTAAGATGATGATTGGACTGATGATATCTTGAGGTAGGTCCCTTGCCTGATCTAATCTCTTATGTTTGATGCATTTTTAACTTTTTAATTTGACTGCTTTTGATATGTTTACTATTTTTCTACTTTTTGCTGTATGCTGCCTAGCCACTTCTTATGAGATAGGCAGCCGTATAAATTTTATCAATCAATCAATCAATCAATCAAGAAATAAATAACCAAACATAGTTCATAATGGAGTTTCACAGTTTCTATGGAGAAAGAAATATTATAACTTTATAAGAACAGCATCTGCTAAAATGCATATAAAGGTGTGGCCACCAGGGAATTTAAAATTAGCAGTGCTTTGTCAAAGAATCCCTAGTTTGATTGCATAAAGATGAATGACCAGGCTGAGAAACACAAAACAAAACAGATCCCAAGTGTCTTCCTTGAATTTTAGTAATTACTGCATTAAAAAAGACCATCCTGCATTTGAAGAAAACTGCATTTTTTTTCCTATTCTAAACCAGAAGCTGAAATAGAAACTAGAAGAATTAAACAGCTCGCACTACAATTTCTTGATTCTCAACCTATCTGACCTCTATTGTGGTCGAGGAAAAGTGATCATCAGGATCCAGTTACAAATGGCACAGGGCTCTACAGACTTCATGAATTCCTAATTAATTTCCTAGCTAACACTTGCATTAACATAGTGATTTGGAAAACTGAATGGAACATGGAACTTGAAAAGAGCAGAGCAGACTTCCCCTTACTGAATACCTTATTTCCATCTGGATTGTGGATTACTGTAGTTTGGGGCTCCTGAGTGAGAGTAAAATAGAGAGAAAAAACAGTTCTTGGTCAATAGATTTTGCATTAGTAAGAGAAGGAAGAATGAAATGACCAGATGAAATGTGTTAAGTATGGACAAGAGCTAAAGCAATGACAACTGCTGCCAGAGGATGTCACTGGCCAAACTGCTAGAAAGGTAACCATATCTACTATAGCAGCATGCAAAAAATCTTAATGATGATCTGGAAACTCGCAGGGCTTTGAAGTTCTAGAGATCTAGAGAGGCACTGAATTTTCCAAGCAAATGCACTGATCATTATATGATCATCCTGTTGTTTACATCATTTATACCATCCTATTTTTTGTCAGTTTCCATGAGGGAAAAAGTATATTAATTAATTAAGACACAATTGAAGTTGCAAAAATACAGGGGACCATAATAGGCTAAACACTTGCATGTGCATTGATAAGTTTGCAACAACCCAAGGAGCAATGAGGAGTGCTGACAGCCTCTAATTCATTTGATTTAGACTCTTCCAAGGCCACGCAATCTTTAGGTGTGAGCCCAGCATTTTCAACCTGGGATGGATTTAAGCGTTCTCGTAATTTGTGCAAAGGCATTTGGGAAATACCTTGGAGACATATCTTACCAAGCTAGTACCACCAGGTAAATAGGAGTGTCTTGCAAAACTTGACAAAAACAAAATTTCTTCAAACTTATGAACTATGCAAGGTGGGATAGGTCTTTCAATTAATAAAAACAGGGTTTAATTTTAAAGCTTTGCCACATAGCCCTGAGAAATCAGAATAAACAAAAGAAGCAAGGTTATGATATAAATAGCTAAATCATTAGCTACACATTTCCCACAGAAGCTATTATAGCACAATGATTTTTATATAATAAAAGATAACTGTGGTATATAGCAAGCTTTCAGTACTAGATGCCTCTAGATCTCAGTAAGCAAAGTCATGCAAAGTCCTGCTGAGAAAGTAAAGGAATGAAAAGCTGAATAAGGTCTACTTGGTTGTTGCCTAGCAATAATCTCATTAGCTCTCCTTGACTTTGAAGAAATTTGGTTGAAACCTAATTTGTAAATACTGAAATAGCAATCAGGCAAAAAGCTAAAGGCAACACAAAAGCACACTCTATTCACTTTCTTACACAGCATGCAAAGAAAACTCAACTGTGGCAGTGATCAATGTTACTGCATAAGTGCATCCACTTCCATGGCACACAGGCTAATTAGAAACACACTCTTTGACAATAAGCTACCTCGTAAGAACTACAATCCCCAGCTCCCAAGAAACAGAAAAAGAAGAAAACTCGACAATTAAAAAGCAAACAAGGAAAGAAAGACAAAGGAAAGAGAGTGAGAAAAAAGATGGAAATGGAACTCAAAAACAAGTTAAGGATAAAGCCAGGTATACCAGCGCCGGGGTGGGAATATTTTCTTTAGGGCTGGTTACTACGTTGGTTTTGTTGTTTATCTGTAGATATGCAGAAAATAGAAACAAAACAAGCCTTAGACCTCTCACTTCACATAATCATATCTATATATCTGCCTCTGTAAAATGCTATTGAGTCTGTCTTCTACAGAATGCTATTGAATAGCTGCTCTGTGATGATAAAGATAAACAGATGAATTTACAGCATCAAAATGGCAAGAAGAGATTTATAAGAAACGATTGCAGCATCTTTTCAATCCAGTTTAACATTGCTGTATAGGAGGAATTTCACAGATTATATTTCAAACATGTTACGAAGCAGCTTCTTAAAAATACTTTGTATTAAGCAATAAGTTATTAATACAAATTTAGATAGGACCACATTTCTAAAAGCTGATTTGTCACTTTCCACATTTATATGAGATATTACTGAACATGACAAAGTGTTTTCTAGATGTTTTGTTCGAGTCTCATCAACCTTAGCTAGCATTGCCAATTATTAAGAAAATATGGGAGCTGTAGTTCAGAATATTTGAAAATCAAACCATTGCTTGCTGTTGATTACTGAAGAAGTACATCAGGTACGAGTTCACTTTCAGACTGACATATATCTCAGTCTCCTACTGTAAACATAAGGCAATATTTTCTTGCTATTGATCACATGGGTTCAGTATCTACCTTTAAATAGACTCTGTCGCCCAGATTCACCTTGCAGGGTGATGGGTGGCATAAACATTTAATAAATGAATAACTAAAAAAAGCAATAAACAAACAAACAAACAAACAAATAAATAAATAAATAAATCCATCCATCCATCCATCCATCCATCCATCCATCCATCCATCCATCAGGTAAGGTTACTTATAAGAAAACAATTTCTTCAGAAAAATATTAATTTTATTTTGTTAAGTAATATCTCTAAATATGAAAAAAATATGTTAACTCAGTATCAAGGAAGAAAAATGTTCTTATCTGAAGTTCATGCTAAATTTTCAGCACAATATATTTTTTTCTCCAGATACAAATAAAAATCACTTCAGTCAATAATAAAATATTTATAGCAAATATCTCCTCTATATTGAGCCTTAATAAACATTGTAGTCAGAAAGATTGGTTTCCTGAAATATAACTTTAGGCATGATCTGAATTAATGAACATTGCTCAGTTGAATAATTAACATACAGTATTCATAACAATGAATGTATAATTTTTTTAGTCGCCAAGCACATTTTAAAGTGAATTACACAGAAAATTAATAGAAGATCATGTCATCCAAAATTGGATACAATTTTGTATACAAATTAATCTTTGTCTAATCCACATTATGAACCAGAGTTAAATGCATGTTTTGTATCTGCAGCTTAAAAAACTGCCTCACATGTTAAATATAATTTTGGAAATTTGACTTATTTTTCTTCATCATATAAGCAAATTAAAATTTAGAACTACCACGCACACATATATTTTCGGGCATATGGTGTATGTGTGTCTATAAGTATGCTTCAGGTGTATGTGTGTCTATATGTATGCTTGCATACCCACATATACAAGCATAAACACAGAGAAACATAGAGACTGGAGAATGGAAGCAACCATCAAAACAATAGAGCTGAACATACAAAAGGTTTACCTGATTAGCAACCCAGAATATTTTGTACTGCTATTTCTACCAGCACAAAGAAAATGAACACTTTTACAATATAAGTAAAATAAAAACAATACTGTTGTTTTTCACCCATCTTCTTTAACCAACATTAAATGAATACAGATCAGCTAATAATGTCACATTTAGACTTATTATTGGTTATGCAAGTACTATTCAGGCAGACTACACTGGATGCCAAATGCATTACTATCTTTTAAAAAAGCACGAATGAGAGTAAAACATTGAAACCCCAGAGATGATGAATCTGAAGTAGTTACTTAAAGGGAAGATGGTAACAATTTGGAATTCAAAGGGTAGCTTAGGGCAAAAAGAAGTTATGAGTGTCACCCATAAAAATAAAATTCACAGAAGTGAATGAAACTGTGTGATGGCTTATTTTGCATAGATGTGAGATATCAGCATGGCGGGGGGATACATCAACTATGTTTGTCGTTAACCATCTACAGCAGAGGTCCCCAATCTTTTGGGCACCAGGGACCAGTTCCAGAGAGAGAGGTTTTTCCTCTTGTTGTGCGGCCCGGTTTCTGTCATACTACAGACTGGTGCCAGTCCATGGACCGGGGTTTGCGGATCCCTGATCTACAGTATGCTTAAAATGGGAAATATTCACAATGCTTTTAACAAAAAATACAGTATAAATAATAAAAAGTAATCATTTTTTTAGGACTGGGGTCTTGTAGTACGACAAAAATCATACTAGCTAAGCTCTGTAAATGGCAATTTAAGTAATCTACAAACATAACCTACAGACATGTCCACAGACAATGTGCCACTCCTATATTGTTCAGGAACTTTTGTATCCTTTCAATGAAACCATTTTTTTAAAATTACCAATTTATTTTGAATTAAAAGATGGGTGAAAAAACTAATTTCATGCTTTTTTATATATAACATGAAAGTAACTTAATATCTCAAGCAAACTCATAATAAAAGAAAGTCATAAAGTTAATATGCACACAAGCTGGCATACCACAAAATTAGTACTTTAAAAATAGAGGGAAAATATCCATAGACAAAAAGAAAAAATGTGGCTTATCAAAATCCTGAGCAGGAATCAAATATTAAGTATTAGTCAAGCAATTTTAATTTCAAGAAGGATATCTGGCCAACAGAAAATACTTCACAATGTAAATCTGTACATCGGTGGTGTAAATACCTTTCAGAACTTACATGTGTTTTCAGGCTCTATCTGCATAATTGTTTTACCATTATATACAAACCATTCAGAAATTAAATGAAGAGCATTATTTATATTAATAATGATAGTTATCACCTTCAGTGCATATAATCTTATATATATATATTTTAAAAGGACTTACATTTAGAAAAAGGTTTCAGAAGCTAATTCAAAATTTTATGGTTCCAAAGTAATATTAACCAATACCTTCTAAAATGAATGTGAAATTGTAAACCCTTTCGTAAAGACTGATATCCCACGAATCAGTAGGATAAATTTTTTTTTCTTTTGTCTTAATTTAGACAGAGTGCATCTTTTGCAGATGTATTACAAACATGATAGAAACAGAAAAATGAGGAAACTATTCTGACAGGAAAAATCAACATTAACTGACTGATTCACAGTCTAATCTATTTTGCCACAATATTAAATATTATAAAAATATTTAAATCACCTAAAAATTTAACAAAGATTTAAAATCTCCCAGGAAACACACAAGCATAGCCAAGTAGGATTCAACATTTACTATTCACCAATGTCATTTTACTTTTTTAAAAATTTGAGTTAACTATTTATGATATTCTGCAGCATTTGTTAATAACTTGTTTTTATTTGCTCGTTTTTATGAATAAATATCTATGAATACAGGTTTGCAGTTCTAAGTACATAGTAAACATAGTGTTCTACATTAAAACACTAGAAAGAAAAAAAGCTAGCTTTTCAAACAGTTTTTATTTTAAAAAAACCTGAGTAATCTTATTGATAAAATAAATATTACAGAAATAAACTCAATTGAATTATCTGATTCAACATCTATCACACTCAATTATATTTAAAATAAGTATGTGATAACAGAAACTCTATTATTTGGTATAAATACTGCACAATACCCACCAGTGGGTTGTGGCTCCAGTGATGGTTTAAATTGACACCTTCAAATTCCTGCCAAGTTCTAAGACTACTGGAATGAATGTAATCACTTTTTTTCCTTTACCTTCCAGAAATTTACCTGATTTAAGTACAAGAAGATTATAGGAAAAATATGGAAGGCTTTCAAATAACAATGCTACTATACTGGAGTAGGATCATGGCCAGTATTCCATCAGTTTCATGGCAATATTTGCACAGTATGTAAAAAAATGCAAATGATTTATTTAGGATGTAACACCACAATGATACAGAAGTCACAAGTGTGCATTTTAAAAGTCTTGTAGCTTCTGATGTTACATTACCAACTCAATGATAAATACATCTATTTCATTTCTAAGTGTGAACATTTCATAGGATGAAAAGTCTGGCAGATAAAGTTCCTCACCATCATCTGAACACTCGAACTGGACTTCCTTTTCTGATATGACCAGTCAGAGAGAAAGGAAAAGAAGAAAATATGACTGGTTGGATTTAAAGAATCAATGCATGGAGAACAACATGTTTGTTGTAGTTTGGCTGCTTATTTTAAAAATGCCCAATTTGCAGAAATGGGAGAAATATTTTGCATATGAATAGAATCTCCTCTTTGATAGGCACTGAAAAATGAATTCTCCTTTCATGGTGCCCTATGAGAACAGGTATGAGAAAGAATTCTGAATACTCGTCATAACACCCCCCACTCCAAATTGCTGGTAGTAACTATCATCAGCACATCTGTTTAAATAGACCAATTTTAACCAAGACTGTTAGAGATTTGAATAAAAAATACTATTGAACTACCTGAATTGGGGCATATAGTATTACAGATACATTAAGGCAAGGCATTTCTACTGAACTGATCAATAGTAGGAAAGAAGCAGCCATTTTGTTCCACTGGAAGAGATAGATTTTGGATACAGAGAAATCTGACGTAGTCATTGGGGTTAGTTGAAAAAGGAGTAGAACATATTCTCAGTACCACAAATAGCATTCTGCAATAGGTCCAGCTAATCTTGGGAAATGCACCGGCCGGGTCCAGAAATAAATCGTATTGAATTTGGTTGTTTCAGAATGGCTGGCTTAGATTACCAGTGTGCTTAAACATGAAATATATAAATGTATGTATATCACAAATTTAATAGAAACATACAACGAGTTATTTACTCCAAAGTTCAGATTCAAGAAAAGAAAAATGCAAGAGCAGAAACTTAACTCAAAGAATGTTCAAATAAACAGAAAGATCCATAGAGATTACACTTCTAACAGCAACTGAAACATTTCATTTAATGCTAATTATCTTGGATTAAGCTAATTTTTTATGTACTACCTGAAACATTATATAGGGAACAATCTCTCCTTGTATGTCATTCTAGGGCCAGAGGCTCAGAAATTCTATGTCATATAGGAAAGCTACAACCTTCTTCTATTTCTTACTAATATTGCTTACTCAATAAGAACTTGTAATTGAGATCTTAAAATGTATTATTTTCTGCCCAGATACATTGATTTTTTTCTGGCAGAATACAGGTCAATGATTGACCAACTTTGGGATAATTTTTTCAATGCTTATATCATAAAATGGCTGCTATTCAAAACATGGCTAGAAAGGGATAAATCACTAACATGGCTAGAAAGTAAATTAATTAATTAACACATTGGTTCATATATTGCCCCTTCCTAAGATAAGATTCTAAGCAGGCCACAAGGAAAATCAAAACATATGCAACTCTGAAATATTAAGAAATTCAACAAGTAAAACACGTTATGTGGCTTTTGAACTAAGTAATTATAATTTATCCTTGCCTCACCTACTTCTAAGTAAATATTATTTGCTGCCCCAAAGGCCTCTTGAAAACATACTCTATTAACTTAACTTTCTGTTAAAAAGAAAGCGAAAATAAAGAGAACTGTATTAACTTTCTGTAAAAAAACAGCAGGGCAGTGGTGATTGTGTTTGGGTGTATATGCGTGTGCACATTTGTTTGCATGTTCTTATGTATGTGCGTACATATATAGACTTCTTAATGAAGAACAGGAGCAGTTATATCAATGCCCAAAGGCATAGAATTTAGAAGGTGATTTGCTAGTGAAAAATGAGTGAGACTATCATTAGCTGCCCTTTATATTTGTAACTTACCTTTACTCCATCAGGTTTCTTCAATAAACTCTTGGCTGCTATAAATCAGAAGGAAACAAATAGGGTCAGTTGACTAATTTAACAAGAAAACTATGAAAAATATCTTTCTTAATTTTGTGAATTTCATTTATCATTATTTGCCATTTCATTTTTCTACCATCTCTTAACAAAGCATTTTCATAATAATGTGATTTCTGCCAGATACTGTGATCATTTTAAATTAGATTTTATCAAGCATCTAGCACAATTCCCATGGGAAAGGAAATGTAATGTAATATCCAGCTCTTACTCAAAATTGTTGCCATTTTGATATGTAAAGTACACAAAAAGGAGAAACAGACAAAGCTGCAGAAAATTATAGGTCACAATTTTATATGATCTTACATTATTGTTTGTTGGTTAAAAACTTTTCTTACTGTAAATCCTTCCATCTATAAAAAGATTAGGCTATTATTACTATTATAAGGTACTATATATATGATAAAATATAGACACTTTGCTTATAAATGAGTGATGGAACAAACCTACTCATAGATGAGAAAGAAATTCCTGAAGTTGTACAAGTGAAGAACTGAGGTAAGAAAGCATTCCAGGTCTCTCATAGTTTTGCTTTAAATTACCCCTTATTAAACTCAGTGGAAGAGAATTGATTGAGGCCAGCCCTTCCCACTTGGGTCAGAAGAAAATGAAGGGGATTGATTAAATTGAGATTTTTCAGAAGCTCATTTCCTTTCCTCCTCACTTCTACCTAATGGTTTGGGGAAGATTCCAAGATCTGGATCTTGTGATTTAGGAATTCTCAGCAGCGGAGACTAAAAAAAAAAAAGAAGATGGGAAGAAGTATCAAGCAACATTTTGTCCTCCAAAAAGGAACAAAGCAGAAAGAATAAAAGAAGATTGAATGGTGCATGTTAACACCTATGATCCTGTGGCATGTCCTTGGATTTTCTTTTTAAAAAAGGTAAAAGTTGTATACTTAAGAATAATGAATCTATTTGATAAGCTTTTGTAAATGACCTAGCTATTTATTTTGTTTTGTTTTTTTCCCAAGAGAAAATCAGAGTTGGAAAATTGGGCAGATATGCCTTATTCTTCAGTGCCACCCTCACTTGTATTCTTATTGAAATTATGAGCATAACATTAACAGATACCGTATATGAAAAATTAGTATTAATAATATAACTAAAATATTGTTAGAATTTATACTTTAGATATCATTATTGCTACATAAATGAGGTTTGTATAGCAATAACTTTACTTGTCATATGAAATAAATAACTTTTCAAATTATGAATGCATTTGGAACTAGAAATTTAACAAACCATTTTGAGCAAAATGCAATTATCTTAATGAGAGTGAAGCATTATCTGTGGCTCTATTAACTTCTGCTCTGAACAGAAACATTTTATGGATAGGAATTCTGTTTTCAAGATGGCAAAGAAAAAAATATACAAGATTGTATCTGCATAAACAATTTGAAAACTGACTTTGCGCTTTCCAAAAACTTTATTCTGTGGTAGAAGGATTATGCTGCTTTTATAGGTGGTAATTTAGACTCAAAATATTTAAATTGAAGTAGGAGTACAAAAGTTTGCCCAGCAACAATTGGATGGCTGATGCAGGTCCCAGAACAAATGTATTTGTTAGCATTGTTTAATTTTGCTTTCTCCATTGCAAAATCCAATTTATAAGACAAACTGCATTGAAGTTGAGGCAAGCCCCCCCCCTCCCTGCACTTTAGGAAGACTAAATATATTTATTCACTAAAATATAATTGTTCAGATTTTTAAAAATTGAGTATTTATACATTTTAATATTTTAGTGTTTTTGGCCTTTTGCTTTTGTGTTTATTTTTAAGATACTTTATTATTGTTATTTTTGTACACTGCAAAGAGCCATTAAGAAAATGGGTAAAATATAAATTTTCTAAACCAATAAATATATTGTGGGAAAATTATGTAAGTCCTGCCACTTCAAGAACCCAACCAACAAAGTTTTATTTATCATGTTTACCACAATAATATATTAATGCATCTTACGTTTCAAAAATAATATCAGTCTTCAATAATTGAAACTGCCTATGTGGCAGAAGCAATGAGGAAAGGTTCTTGTAAAACATTATTTGAGGAATAATTCTTCCAGCAGTTGATACTTCGGGACTATACATTTCTAAACATAACATTATGCATGTATGGATACAAGCATAAATGAAATTAGAATAATTTTACTAATCACTAAGCTTGGTGAATTTGTAGCCTTTTAGCTTGGGTATAATAAGCACCTACCTGATTAACTTTTTGTAATTCTTTGGATTACATTTGGCTGAATATTAACAGGATCCAAATGAATTCATCCTTCTTCTTTAAGAACTGCATTTAAAACAACACTGACAGTGTTGTAGAACAATGGCTGAAATGCTGGGTTACAATATCAAGCACAAAAGTCCAAATCTAACTCAGTGATGAAAATTGTGGACTTGCTTTGAATCAGTAATCATGTTTTCATCTTTTATTACTGAAAGTATCTACACCAACCTTCTCCAGCCAAATTGGTATAACTTCCCAGAATTCCCATCTTGGCTAAAAATTCTTGGAGTTGCAGGTCAATGTATCTAAAGGGCATCTTATTGAAAGAGACTGATATTGACAATGCATTCCAAGTCTTTGCCTCCTCATGGTCTTAATCCTGATTAACTAAATTAACTTGTGCATGTGTTGTACAAAAAGAGAAACTGTGGTTAAATGTTAGTTTATTAATCAAAATCTGTAAGCCTGTACTTTATGAGTTTTAAGAATTGATTCATAAAATATTAAAACAGCCCCCTATTTCAGTCATTTTCGAAGACTAAAATAGTATCTGTACATTTACTATATAAGGGAACAGCCTTTTCACTAGTTCACACAAGAGCCATAATAGACTGAGAGAGTTTTTTCTTAAGAATGTGGAGCAAAAACTGGACTGTTAAGGGAAACAATCAGATACCCAGATTTCTGAAATCTTATCATAACCCCTTTCAATAAATCTTGTTAAAAGAATCTTGTATTCTATGTAAATGGGTCCATGAAAAATTTGACACAGATAAAACTAAAGAAAGATTCCTCCTAAAGAGGAAAAATAAAATAACGCAAGTATGGGAAATAAGGATGTGCATCATGATGATTGGATTTAAATAATTGTGTCAGACATCATAACACAAATAGATAGTTGTGACTTGTGTGCAATATTATACTGCATCTGTTTTGATATCATTGTCGCTTATTATGGATGCCACAGAAGAGGGGTTTCTGTTCAGACATCAAAGCTATCTTGTAACAAACTGTAAAATGTACATCCAAACTGAACGAACTACTCTGAATATATGCTTTAGTATAAAAGTGTAAAATTAATTATTTAAATTATATTCTAATACATGCTAGAGTATAAAGTTGGGTATAAATTAAACAATTAATTTTTAAAAAGAAAGAAATCTTAATTATTCCGTATTACATACTGTATCTACATTAAAACTAAGGTATCACAATGTGCATATCAGCAATATGAACTAAAATAATGATTTACTTGAGGAAGATGCCCCAAATCCCCATTTTGACAAATTATTTTATCATCTTCTTAAAGCTGTAATAAATTTTGAAAACATAAGATTTTTCCCCCAAGTAAATGAGAACCAGCACAGTAGGCGTATGCTAAGTTATATTAAAATGAAACAGATATTTCACACCATTCCAGTTTTTAAATATTCCTAATCACTCTAGGGATTGGGGGGGAACTATCTGGCACTGAGTTCATTTTTCTTCATTAAAAGACTATTACATTGAAAGCCCTATTGATTGGTAAGCAGTCCAACCCAAAGAATGAAAATGAGGCTGAAACTGGAAGTTATGGGAGCCATGACAAGCAGTGCCCGAAGTGTCCTCAGCCTTCCTCCTCAATATCTAGGATTTTGAAACATGTCATCCTGCTATAAACTTCCATGGTCACATAGGCAATAGACAATTTAATGGAGGGGATATTCAACATGATACTATGATGTACTTCCTGTAAGATTTTGTTCTGTTCTAAAGCAGCATACAAAAGGCAACAACATCTCATGGGTTGGAGCAAGCATTTCTTAGGAGTTTCAGATTCTTAGGAGCTTACCTCACAAGAAACAAATATTCTACATTATAGGAAGAACTAAAAGGTGAAAAAAGTAAAATATGTTTATAAGTAAATTGAAATGCACAAAAATTACTAAAAGAAAAAAAGGAAGAGTAGCATGTTGTATACAGAAAGAAAATGAATAAATTAAAATCAAATGCCCTTCTGATATCTGGGTGCCACATTGTCTTAAATTACATACAATGGGTACCATGACATATATTAACAAACAACACACAAGTTGAATGAATTGATCTACAGTTATTATTTATTTAGTGTATGGCAGTTTGGCTGCCTAAGACTACTAGCCCATTTGGTTTACGCTCGCAAGCTTTCCAAGGTGTACTCCAGGGGACAAGCTAGTTTTATACCAAAAACTGATCTACAGAACTCTTGAGTAAGAAAAGAGTAAAGAGCTAAATCAAGATACAAAATCACATTTGACATAGTGGACCAGTAAGTGCTGAAAATGATAGGTATGTGTTATAAATCATTTTAATGATAAGGAATCTTTTCTGGAATTCTATCTATAGTTAAGCAGAAATAGGTATTTCACAAAAGTTTCATTTTTAATTGAAACAACCATTTGGAACATCTATTCAGAAACCATTACAAAATTGTTCTGACTCCAATATATATATTAAGACAAAATGAAAGAGCAGGGCTTCCTTTGGCCATCAAAACAGGCAACAGTGAATGGCCACCTGAATGGCAAGTTTAAATTCCTCCAACAAAATTATTAAATTTAAAGCAACAACAGTACTTGAAGAACATTCAGTTCTGCTCCTGGTTCCCTCACTTTTAAAAGAAAGTTATCACATTTCTTGGCAAGCTATACCATTCCTGAGCAGCAGAGGATACATTTTGCACAACAAATTGCTTAATTTCTATTATTAATGAATATATTTAATTAATAAAATTTAGGAGATTTGTACATTCTTAATTTTTCTTGGTTGCATAACTTCTGTGAATAGAAGAGATTTATAGATTATAAATGTAAGGATCCTCTTGATATGAAGGGCCAATCCTCCCTCCAAATGCTTTGGAAGCTGTTCTGTATTAAACCTCTGTTTGAATTTATTAGATTGAACAATGGAGTAGCATCATCAAATCTGAAAAAAGTAGACAGCAAACTTTTACATGTAAGAGGTGTATATCTCTCTGCCATTAATGGAATGGTAGAAAGAGTGAATACAAAGAAATAAAGAAAAAATTGATCTTGATCCTGGTGTTCCAAATAACAAATACATTCATTATACGCTTGTGCTTTTTTCTTATACGACATGAATCAATTATCATTGGGTTATTTTAAGTTTTCAAATTTAATTTGTGTATTTTTATGTAGCTTCCATCAAAGTTCAAAATAATTTCCATCAAAATTAGGTTTTTTTTAAAAAAAAGGTGTGCATGTAGTAGTGTACAAATATGGATTTAAAATCTAAAGGAATACAGAAAAGAATATATGCCAAATTCCACATTTTTCAAAATCCCTATTAACAAAGGGTAAAACAAGAGGAGTGAAAAAGATGTCTGAGCAAACAATGACTGTAAATTTTGAAAATAATTATGGGATAACTTTTCCATATTTCTATTGTACATCTTATCTTGAAAGTTGGACTTTTAAATTATAACTGTATTTAGTTTTGTTTTATAATCTTATTATAGAATACCAATCCATCTACTTGAATATATATCATGTAAATAGACAGAAGCAGATAAATACAGTAATATTTCGTAAGATGCCCAGAGTCCATTGGAGTGCATGACTATAATAATAAATGTGTAAAAGTTAAAATTGTGATTAGTAAAGAATATATCTAGAGTAAAAAAAGTGCTAAAGACAAAACTGAATCGTGGAAACACCATCAAAGCCACCAATACCTGGATTATACCTATGATACAAAAAACTCCTAGAATTATTAACTAGACACAAACTGAACCAGGCAGTTTGAATTGAAAAACAAGAAAGCTAATGATTATTCACTATGCACTACATCCCGTACTGATAGATTATACCTGCCCCACAGAAATGGAGGTAGATGTTTACTTCAAAGAAAAGCAAACTTTGCTGATTACATATAAGACAGCCAAGAACAAGCACTGATGTCAGTTAAAAATTGGAACTTACTGAATGTGCAGGAAAAAAAACAAGAATATCGAAATAATGTAATAAGAACAGAATGCTGGCAAGAAAAAGCATTATAAAGATCAAGGAAATGGTGGATAAGGATAAAATTTGGCAATGGCTTATGACTGGAACATTTAAAAAAAGAATCTGGAAATTTAATTTTGGCTGCTTAAAAGCAAGCTATTTAAACTCATATAATCAAGGCCAGAATTGAAAATTTGTCAAAGGATTCAAAGGGCAGATTGTGCAAAGAGGCAATGGACAGTGGATCATATACTCAGCTTGTGCAAGAAGACTGCACTGATTCTTTTTGTAAACAATGTTTGTAAAAGTCTTAGTTCATCACAGACCAGATTTAACTGTAGTTGAAAAGAACAAAGTGTGAATAATTGATGTGGCAATACCAGGGAATTGTGGAATAGCAGACAAAGAATTGGAGAAGATCACAAAATATCAAGATCTGAAAATCAAAGTTGAAAGATTATGGCATAAACAGGCTGTGGTAGCCCAATTGTTATTGGCACTCTAGGCATCATACCAACCAATATTGGTTGGCACTTAGAAAATCTGTGCATTGGCAAATTTCTACCTGTCAATTACAATAACAATAACAATAATAAAGTTGGAAGGGACCGTTGAGGTCTTCTAGTCCAACCCCCTGCTCAGGCAGGAAACTCTATACCATTTCAGACAAATGGCTGTCCAGTCTCTTCTTAAAAACTTCCAGTGTTGGAGCATTCACAACTTCTGGAGGCAGGTTGTTCCACTGATTAATTGTTCTAACTGTCAGGAAATTTCTCCTTAGTTCTAAGTTCTCCTTAGTATCAAACTGACCACTTGCTTGAATCTGCATATATACTATACGTATACATTACAACATCCTATGTTCTTGGGAAGAACTCAATGTATATGAAGGCCAACAACAAGTAAAGAACTGTCAGCTATGATTTCACACTATTGTCTGTAACACCATCAAACAAAAACATCTACCTGTCCCAGGTCCTTGAAAATAGGTGAACAAAAATTCCAAATCCAGGTTGAACATCTGGCTGACTATGCATCAAACCATAAAAAATAATAATAAAAATCCTTGGGAAGGACTTAATAGGTGGACAAAAATGCCAAAATCAGTTTTAAACATCCGGCTAATTGTGAGACCAACCATAACACAAAATAACAAAGATCTGCAAAGAGAATTTAGAAAGACTATGGCAAAAGAAAGCAAACATAGTACCAACAATAATAGGCAGCTTGGGTGTAATTCCAAACAACCTATAGCATCACTCGAACATCATTCACATTGACAAAACTACCATAAGTCAATTGCAAAAGGCAGCCAGATGTTTGGAACAGCTTATATTCTGGGAGAATACCTTTAATATTATGAAACAATGACATCTACCTATATCAGGTACTTGATGGGTGGACAAAAATGTCAACTCCAATCTAAACATCTGCCTGACTTATTACAACCCTGTAATACTGCCTACTGTCAGTTCTCATGCTAGCTGGAAAAGTCTTATCTAGAACAATATAAGTAAACTTAAATATCAGAAGCATTTTAAGGTTTCAATCAGAGACCTTCTGCTCAAATTATATTTTTGGCACAATGAAGAGATTATGGAAGAAATTTGATATACCTTGCATAGGAGTCTACCAGACAACTACCATACATTTTGAACAAGCGGTTTTTCATCACATACTGCATATGGCAAGGATGTAATCTAATACAGAAGGAGGACTGTCTGAATACTGAAGAAAAATCCTTCATATCATGTACCCAATTATTCCTCCAGACACATTTAATAGGAAAACATAACTCAACAATTGACAGAAATGTTTTAATAAAGTCTGTCAAGAATTAATTATAGAATTCTTTTCCAATATAAATATAAAATAAAATTTAGGAAAGGATTTGTTGTGATTCTCATGTTTGCGTATTTTAACAAATGCTTTCAAATCTTGTAGACTATTCAGCTGTAATATCAAAAGAAGCTAGAAAAAACACTGAAGAAAGAATGAAATCACAAAAGATGGTTATTTCATCCCATTCCATTTATAACTGGAGAATGCATAAATAAAAATAAATATATATGGCAAAACAAACAAAATAGTATATGAACAAATTGATGATTTTTAAAAATACATTCCATGAATGCATATCAATAGTTAACAATACAGAGACATAGAAGTGAACTACACATACCTGAGAAATTTCTTGTAGCCAACATTGTTGTTAAAATGGCTCCCTGAAAATCCAACATAATGCCAATATTTTAGAAGATTTTTTAAATATCAAAATACAAAATTGAATTCTAAATCTATTCATCTTAATATATAGTATTTATAAACAGTATACTTTTCTTCTTAAGTTTGTTGAGGTTTTGTTTTCAGATATGGTAAAAGTATGTGTCAGTTGTATTTGCAATTAAAAACAAATTGACAATACTTCATACTTTTTGGAAAAAAAGCATCACAATGTCATATTAAAAAGGGAGGTATGCTTGCATTTATTTTCAATTTCAGTCATGAACACAAATTTCCCTCCACCCTTCCAACGTACACATATATAAACACACATTCAGCCCCACACAGAAAAGAGAGGAAAAGGAATATTAAAAGAGAAATCTCTCTAGGGCTCAATATAAATGTAGTTTCAGATAATCAGTATCTGCTACATTATTTTCAGTATCTTGAGAATGCTGTACTCCCACACACAGAGAGCAAGAATTTGCACATACAAATTGGGAAAATGGCTTTATTTTATTAGTTTAAATATTAAAACAAAGGAGTACTGACATCAAATTCTGCCACAAGGCAATACAAAATTTGCACAAAGAAGAATAAAAGCCGATATCCATGTAAATTGGATACTTTTACATATAAAATTAATTAATATGGATTAGTTAGAATATATTTGTGGGAATGCTATTTTCCCAGCCAGCTATTTAAAGAATAATAAATAAAGAGAACAAAAGGATTCGTAAAAAATTGCCCTCTTACCTTGAGTTTCCTTCTTGCATTGAACTTCTTCAAACAATCTACAGTCTCCTGCCGGTGCATCATAGAAGCAACAGTAGAGCGTTGCTGAAAGACAAGAACAGAGTATATGTTTCAATGCATGCGGCTTTATCTACACTGTTATTTAATATAACTCTTTTTTTGGAGATGCATCCAGAAGTCAGTGACAATTCGAGTTCCCAGTCGGAATAACAATGTTCCTTCCCACCACTTAAGATCAATTTAATTTGTGTTGCTGCTACATATTAGATTCCAATAGGGACTTTTTGATCTTTGAACCCTTTTTGTCTTTAGGTTGATCACAGATTATCAATTACAATATATTATTCAGATCCTGCTTTTATATCTTCTGCTTTGTAAGTTTAATTTAGTTGCTTAATTAAAAGTACAGGTATTCCTGATTTAGTGACCACAATTGGACCTGGCAACTTGGTAATTAAGTGAAGCAGTCACTAAGTGAAAATGCAACAATACTTACAATCTCACTTCAGCTTTCCTTTGCTTACAGTTATGTGAAGGTTGTAAATATGATTGATCATAAATATATTTTTTCATCACTGCTGTAATTATGAATGGCCACTAAATGAGGCAGTTGCTATATGAGAATAACCTATAGCTGTTATCTTACATGTCCCTTTAACAGAAACCTCATGTATTGGCACTACAGAACACCCAATACTCTGGGGGAACAAAGGAAAACATAGCTAACAGAATAACAGAGTTGGAAGGGACCTCGCAAATCTTGTAGTCCAACTCCCTACTCAAGCAGGAAATCCTATATCATTTCAGACAAATGATTGTCCAGTCTCTTCTACCACTGTGGTATAAATTCTATGTGTCTGAGGGTAAGCTACAATACTGAGTTAAGATTTTATAGAAGGAAGTTAATAGGCTGCAAAATAGTACAATGAATAGAGAAGGTGTGTATATGCATGTGTAACCAAATACCTAACCTTGCATTTTGCCCCCAACCACATGACTGCTAGGCAAAACATGATTAATGAAGTAAATACTGCTTACACAGATCCATGGGTGTTTGAGGGCCTCTGATGCATGGATGCGTTTGGCAGGATTGATTGTAAGCATTTTGTTGATAAGATCTTTTGCTTCTGGGGTCACCGTATCCCATTCTGGGGAAGGAAACTTGAAAAACACGAATTCATGTAAAATCAAACCGATATAGCAACCAAACCGATATAGCAACCGAGATGGAAGTGAACTGTTTTAATTTGTGAATTACGATAAGAAGGCTTTTGATAAAACACCAAGTAAATGAATATGTCTTTTAGCCACCTTGTCATATTTTAAGAAAATAAAAGATATAATAAAGATCATGTCACACTGAACTAGAGCTTTAGCTTTTGTAGGGATCTTTACTCCTTAAAAACAAAGCAAGGATTGTTTTGCCTCTTTTCTAGGGAATAAATAATTTTGCACAGTCTTTGAGGTTGTCTTCATGTGGGCTGGTGGATGATGAGACTTTTCTCCCTCTCTCAAATATGGCAATCTTCCCTCTCTTCCTATGAACTTACAGTAGCATTTGTACAGCTATTTCCCCCATTCGCTTCACTTCGAATTCTTCCCATTCTCACAAATTGAGCAATTAAAAACAAGGTGAATGGTATAGCATAGCACTAATGAAAACAAACAAGTTAATTAGCATTGAACTGAGACACAGAAAACCTGAGTCAAGACTAAATAAAAGAAAACTCAATTGTATGAGATATGAAGAGAGGGAATAGCTGTAATAGGTTCAGATAATTGGGAAAGATAATCTACTCTTGAATTGACCACTGCATGCCACTGATTCTTGCCTGTTGATTATGGAAAGCCATCACTCACGTACATTTCAGCATGGCTGAAGCCTGTAAGGCTGGCTGTCCTTCTGAAAGCAGGCTATTATTTTATGAAAAGCAATTTGCATGATGGACTCCTCTGAGATAGCAAGAAGGATAATCATACTGCAGAAGAGATATTTGTCTATTTTGAAATACATTCCAATAGGCATCAGTGCTTAAAAGGCAGGGTGGGAGGAAAATCTATCATTTTTTAAAAATGATTCTTGTGGCTGCAATTGCTGGACTTGAAAATTATGAGCGGTGAGAAAATAGGATAGAAACATTGTGGGCGGCACCAGTTCTTCATGGTTCATTTCACATCTTTCTGTCCCAGATCTACATACACAAACTTGTAAAAATATCAATACAGATTGTAGGTGTGGGAATCTGTAATAAACTGTGGTCAATGAGTGATGTGTCAGGGATGGGCACAATATGATGATAGAAAAACTATACTGAGAATATTTATTTACATCAGCATCACTAGGTACCATCCAGCTCTTTTGGACTACACCTCCCATTAACTGTGGTTGGCATGATGAAAGCTGCAGTCTAACAGTACTGGAAAGATGTGGGTTAGAAAAATAGATTCCTCAAGCTGGACAGGTCAATTTAGACCACTTAATTCAACCTTGTGCTCAAGCAAGGAATCCAAGTAAATGCTTCATGAACAGATGGCTGTCCCGCTTTTACTTGAGCACGTATCTCAAAGGGAAAATGGGAAATATATGGATAACCAGAGCTCTGGAAGGTTGATTTTAAGATGTAAGAGATCAGTTAGCTTAACCAGGGACCTATGTGTTTCAGCATGTTTACACAGTGGTAAACCATCCCCATTCCGGCAACCCACAAGTGGTAACAGGAGGGTGATAGACTTCAATGCTCACTCTTTAGTAATTGATATTTAAGGCTTGCTGCCTGGAAGATTAATGGCCATGAATTTGTCTAATCCTTTTTTTTTTTAAATTGTGGCTACTTCTCGTGTGTGTGTGTGTGTGTGTGTGTGTGTGTGTGTTTGTGTTTGTGCCTTTGAGTCAGTGTTGACTCCTGGACACTGCCTGGACAGGTTCCTACAGAGTTCTGAAGAAGTGACTTGCCACTGTCTTCTTCCTGTGGCTGAGAGTGACTGCTCTAAGATCAGCCAGCTGGCTTTTTAACTACAAAGGGACTAGAACTCACAATCTCCTGGTTTAACATGGTGTCTTATCCACTACAGCAAACTGGCTATCTCTATACCTGATTCCAAAAATATAACTATAGCTGGGTAGATACTTATGTGAGAAATTCTTTATTTATTGTTTCTAAAATAGATTTTTGACTTTGCTTTTAAAAGAAATCAAATTATATTACTACATACTGTAGGACTACATGCCAATCACCATGCATCCATTTATTCTTATTGTGTCTCTTGAAAGCACATATTGTAAATACTCACGTCTGCACAATTATTTGAGTATCAGCTAGTAGTGTGTTATACTACATAGAAGAGAAAATACTACAAAGAAAATAAATAAATAATCAGAACAATTTCAGAGGTTGGGAGGGAAGTTAGGGAATACCAGAATCACAAATACTTAATTGTTATGTTTTTGGAGATAATAAATAATTATGATACAAACAAATGGAAATTGAGGCCTATGATACTTACATCATAAGCACCAGCTTTGATCTGTTGATAGAGTCTATGTTGATCTTCATCCCAAAAGGGAGGGTATCCCACCAAGAGGATATAGAGTATAACACCTGCAAATGGTATTAAACTAATGAGTAAAATTAGCTCACGTAAAGAATACCTGAGGGAGAAGATACATGGGAAATCCATGAGATCTCCTAGCGCATAAGGCACATGGACAGTAATTTTAATCAGACTAGCATACTGAAGAAAGATCAGCAGCATTTTCTTTCACTAAACCTTCTTTTCCTGAATATAGAGACCCAAATGCAGGTGCATATATGTTCCACAATCATCCTGGCCAGAGAAATTAGGAGCAGACTTGAATTTCAGATCTATGAGAAGTGGAAGAGGGAAACTATTACAGCTAGTCCTTGAGTTACAAATGTAATGGAGCCTACCCATTACATTCATAACTTGAAAATTCGTGGGAGTGAATCTCGTACTTTGAACGTGATTCATTCCCTGCTTTCACCCACGCATTCGCTAATCGAATGCATGGACGAATGTGCGGTTCATTAACTGCACATGAGGTATCTCAGGGTGGGGAAGGCCATGGAAGGCCTAGTGATGGAACAGGCCCCAAGGCCTCCCCAATCCACTAAGATACCTCATGCTTCCCCTTATCTTCCTGCCGTGCTGGACTCACCTTGAAAAGATCCGTCTCCTCTCTGCTGTGGTTCCTGCTGCCGGGTGGATCTGAGGCTGGTGGATGCTTCTGCATGCCTCTGGAGGCTGGATCCGGGCGTCGGAGGCCTTTTCCAGGCCACTGCCGCCTGAATCTGAGGCCGGGGGATGCTTCTGCATGCCTCCATAGGCCCGTTTCCAGGTGGCAGCGGCCTGGAAAAGGCCTCCAGCACCCAGATTGGGCCTCTGGAGGGCAGTGGAAGCGTCCCCCGGCTTCAGTTCCAATTTTTGTTGCAGAGAACAGAGGTCTAAAGTACCATGAGATCACACAAGATCAGTAGCGTGAGATCTCGCGCCACCGATCTTGCATGATCTTGCGTTACTTTAGGCCTCCATTCTCTGCGAACACAACGAAGGCCTGGAGCAGCCAAGAAAGTGAAGGATCTTGATCTTCGCAAGGTGAGTATTGAAGGTCTAGTGCCTAGGGAGACCCTGGGCGGGGGTGGAGAGGGAGGGAATAATCAGGGTGAATATTGCAGTGCCACTGTGGTTGTTCATAAGGGTGAACGACTGCCGTGGTGCAGCAACATTCATATTTTTGGGATTTGCTTGGAAGCACTAGGTGGCACTTACCGCATAACTTCAAATGTTTGCTAAGGGAACATTCGCAACTCAGGGATTACCTGTAGTATAGACTGGTGGAACTATTTTCCTGTAGAAATAGTTTCCTTTAACTGATATTTTTTTTCTCCTGAAAGGTAGAGCTTTAATTTCCCTTTGCTCAGTTGTGCAAACCTCAAGTATATTTTTGCAGTTTAGCCACAGCAGAGTAGGGGATTTTTTTACTTATCAAAGTTGCTTTTAAAACTTGCCCCACTCTTTTTTATAATTATCTAGCATATCAAATTGAGTTGCACCCAGTGTTATAATGGAATTGCTGAAAACAATAAATGTTTTTGTTTAGAGCCCCAAAGTAGAACCTGCAAATATGTAGAAAGCAATGATATGAAGAACATGAAAAATATTTACCCACAGTCTGAAAAAGAATAAACAACATTAGGGTTACCAATTTCTGCATGTATAAAAGGAGAGAGGCTAAATGAATGACCTTACTCAACAGCCTCATGTGACATTAATTCTTCCCTTTTACTGACAAATTGATGTCTGCAAAGAGAAAACTTGTGTGCAAGCAAACATCTAAACTGGTATTGTTGTCATGAAATTTAGAGGCTATATGATATAATTTGCACATTGGAAAATCTACAAATATAATCACTTGGGGAGACAATGTCTTAAAAGCTACACTGTACACTGAGGTTAACAAACTTTTCAGGCATCAAGTATCGCCTGTGATATAATAACTTACATACTCCCAATATCTCACTTGAAATCTTACAAGGTTGACAATTTGTCCAACCTAAGACTTTGAAATATCTGTGCAAAAAAATGGGAGATTTGGCAACCATTTCTCCATGAACACTATCTAGAAGTGTCATGGATGCCTTGATATCTTCAGATCATGTTGATCCTTATAGTAGATTGAAATATGTGTTCCCTGAATTCCTAACGTTGTTCTAACTAATTTTTAGCTTTTTAAATGTAAAGCATCATTGGTGTGAAATGTAAACTATTTTCATGAATCTGATAAGCATTCTGACCTGTCTATAGGGTTTCACTTGATATTACAGAAAACTAATGAAACACAGATGTATATAAATTAAATAAAGTATGTTACAACAATTTTTGTAGGTTTTCTTTTTGCAACTGCTCTTACCTTGTTTTTTAAATTCTGATAGACTGATTATTTTCAAGTTAAGGTGAGAATTGAAGGTGGATACACACAAGACTACTAAAATTTGCAATTGACCAATCCTTGTTGAAGAAAGCAATATATTAATTATATCAATGAATAATAATGCTTATTAGCATGCAGGGCTTTTTTTCTCAGAGAAAAGGTGGTGGAACTCACCTCCCTCCCCTGGCCACGCCCCCACCCAAACCTGGCCACGCCCTCATCAAACCCTAGGACCGCCCCTTTAGAGAACAGGAATGCAAGTAAAATTTGGGAGGGGCTATAAAAGTAAATGTATGGAATTCTCTGCCGCTTCTTGCTCGGGCAGGGTCGCCTAGGAAACGGGCCAGGGGCGCGCCGACCGAGCCTCCCTATGGCCGCGGTTGTGAGCCAGGCAGGGGCAGAGAGCTGCGAGTGCGAGCGCGCCCCCCCAGATGTTGCGCCCGGTGCGGCCGGCCTGGAAAAAGGTGCCGGAACGCGGTTCCGCCGCGTTCCGGCTGAAAAAAAGCCCTGTTAGCATGTATTGCTGTAATCTCACTTTGCCTCAAAGGGTATGAGAGCCAGTTTGGTCTAGTGCAGGGCTAGGCAACCTTGGCTCTTTTATGACTCGTGGACTTCAACTCCATGCTGGCTCAGGAATTCTGGGAGTTGAAGTCCACGAGTCATAAAAGAGCCAAGGTTGCCTAGCCCTGGTCTAGTGGTTAAGGCACGAGGTGAGAAACCAGAAGACTGGGTGTTCTAATCACACTTTAAGCATGAAAGCTGGCTGGGTGACTTTGGACCAGCCACTCTCTCTCAGCCCAATCCACAAGTTTGTTGCTATGGGAAAAAGGAGTATTAGGTATGTTCACCACCTTGAGTTATTTATAAAAACAATTAAAGTGGAAATAAACAAACAAACTAATAAATGTCAAGCTTCATACAGTTGGGGAAGATCAACAAAAACTACAGATATTTCAACAAGGTATTTTAATACTTTTTGGGGGGTGGTCAGTGTTCACTCCTTGCACTGCCTGGACCAGTCTCTGCAGTTTTCTTTGCAGCAAGACTCTTGGAAGTGGTTTGCCATTGCTTTCCTCCTATGGCTGAGAAAGAGTGACAAGGCCACAGTCACCAGCTGGCTTTGTGTCTAAGGTGGGACTAGAATCCACAGTCTCTTGGTTTCTAGCCAAGCCAGAAGGATAGAAACAGTAAGAGGAATTTCCATCCCTCATTTATAGTGAGGTAAGACAAACTGTCTTTGAATGATCTGAAAGATATCTTCCCAGTTTCTTCCTATATGGCTTAAATTGCTCTTTGGGCAATCAGCTGTCAGCTGATAGGTCTACTATCCCTTGATTATGTCCACTGCATTCCTTTCCCAGTTTCTTTACAATCTCTCATGGGTTGCTAAAATTTTCATGATGATAGAAGATAGAAAATAATAGAAGACAGAAAACAAAATGGAAAAGAGGAGGCTTAATTATGAAACATATATATATATATATATATATATATATATATATATATATATATATATATATATATATATGTGTGAGTCTTTGGTCATTCGGGTTTTCTCCCGTGTAAGATTAGAAGTATCATAGCGACGTTTCGATGAAATCACATTCATCATCATCAGGCTTCTGCTTTTAGCTTTGTGCTTCTCAGTGTAATATGAAATGTCTGCTGTTTCTTTCTTTTAACTGCCAGTGGGGTTTGAACTGAGGGGGCGGGGACTTGGTCGTGTTCTGAATGGGTGGACGTGTGCTCTGATTGGTTAAGGAACTTGGCTGCGCTCTGATAGGATGGGGGGTTAGCTGTGCTCTGATAGGCTGGGGGAGTG